ACGGGCACCCAGAAGAGGCCGCTGTGCAGCCCGGGGCCACCAGAGGCGGGAAGCAGCAGGAAGGGAGCCTGTAGCGCCTGGGGAGGGAGCGTGGCTCTGCCCACACCTTGATTTCAGACTTCCAGAAACCACAAGAGAATAAGTTCCCGTTGGTTTAAGCCCCCAGCGTGGGGTTGTTTGTCGCAGCTGCCCCGGGACACGGACGTATGGTCCAGATCTTCAGCCCCATCTCTCAGGTTGCTGGTCCCTGAACTCCTGTAGCCGCCCTGGGCACCGCTGCACATCCTTACATCCCACTCCCGCTGCCAGCAGGTCTTCTCTGCTCCGCCTTCAAAGCACGCTGGGGACCGCCTCCCGCCCTCCCACTGCTGCCGCCTGTCCCGGGCCCCAGGGCCCCAGCATCCCGGCACTGCCCCTCTTGCTCCCGCCCACCCCTCGCCCCCGGGTCGCTGGGTGTTCACACCGCATCCTTCTACTCCAGATCCCCCTTTGTCTGCTCTGCTCTGGGATGCTGGGCTGACGCTCAGCGACCACCTCATCCCGGTGTCCTGCCAGCGGCGGGCTGCAGGGGGAGGTTGGGAGAAGGGAAGAGGAGGGCCTGGGTCCTGTCTTTCCCGGACAGCATGGTGCCCCCTCCTCAGGGTGCTGCAGGGCCTGTCCTTTGAGCTCCTGAGTTCCGGGACCCTTGCTGTCCCTGCTGTCCTCCTGGTGCTGAGGGTGGTAGCTGCTTCCCTGAACCTGTGGCCCGAGCAGCTGCCGTGTCACTCAAAGGCGGCCCCCTGGACTTCTGTTTACATTGAGGTCAAAGTCACGTAACATAAAATTAACGATTTTTATGGGAGCAATTCAGTGGTATTCCTATTATTGTATAACTGTCATCTCTGTCTAGTTCCAGAACATTCTCGTCCCCCCCAGAAGTTAACCTGTTCCCTTCCTCCTCCTCGCCTCCGGCAGCCACAGAGCTACTCTCTGTCTCTGGGATTCGCCTGTGCCTTTTACATTTCATATAAATGGAGTCATACGACACCTGCCCTTTGGTGTCTGGCTGCTTTCACTCAGCAGAATATTTTTAAGATTCATCCATATGCCCTTTTTTTTTTATTTTGGTATCATTAATCTACAATTACATGAAGAACATTATGTTTACTAGGCTCCCCCCTTC